TCCTTTCCTTTCCTTTCCTTTCCTTTCCTTTCCTTTCCTTTCCTTTCCCTTCCCTCCCTTCCCTCCCCTTCCCTCACCTTCCCTTACCTTCCCTTCTCTCCTCTCCTCTCCTCTCCCTTCCCTTCCTTCCCTTCCCTTACTTTTCTTTCTTCCTCCTCCCCTCCCTTCCTCCTTTCTTCTCTTCCCTTCCTTTTCTTTCCTTTTTCCTCCTTCCCGTCCTCCTTCCTTTCTTGGATGAGAAACACCTCGGCACCCCAGACGCTGGCTCCCCCTTGTTCCAGACTCACCTGTTCAGAGTCTAGCTCTTGCCACCTGACACCAAATCCCAGTCTTCATCTACCCCTCACCCCACTAGAGGAACAGTATAAGAGGTGCTTTGCCTCAGGGGGACAGCCAGGCTGGGGGTGGCAGTGGGCTCTGGCCCAAGACTGGGGACAGTACAGCCCCAAGGCTCTTAACAGTAGTGAATTGTGCATGCCAGGCCACACATCTGTAGCCTTCTAGGAATAGGTAGGACCCTGAGCAGTATTGTGGGCTTCTGGGGTGGATGAAACCCTGCCGTCCCAGTCCAACTCTGCCAAGGTCCAAGGCCACAGCATCAGCTGGAAGGCACCATTCCATTGTACGTCCTCGGGACCAGGTGTCCCTCCCAGCAGCTGAGAGATGTCTAAAATTTGTTCCAGGAGGATAGTCATCCAGTCAGAATTAAGTCTTCCACAGACTTAATTGCTGCCCTCTGCTCTGCCACAAGTGTTTTGCAGTTCATGTATAGTAAGGAAGCCTTCTCCATAAGGGCAAGCCATCTCTGGATTCTGTTTTGCACTACGCCTCCTCATAGCTAGCTCTCTCCAAACTGCTAGCATCCAGAAATAATGACTTATGATCACATGAGAAAAGAACATTGACAATTAATAAAAGATCACTGCCTTGAGGCACCTGGGTGGCTCAGTTGGTTAAGCATCTGACTTCGGCTCAGGTTATGACTTCACGGTTGGTAAGTTCGAGGCAGCGGGCTCTGCACTGACACTACAGAGTCTGCTTGGGATTCTCTCTCTCTCCCTGTCTCTCCCTCTGTCTCCCTCTCTCTCTCTGCCCCTCCCCCACTCATACTTTATCTCTCTCAAAATAAATAAACTTAAAAAAAATTATTGCCTTATTTATATACTTGGATTATCATGGCTAATCACGTATTTTTACTAAGATGAACTGTTATAGTCAAAACCATTAGAGTTTTATAAAAAATTATCATCTTTTTGCCCTTCCAAATAAATGTAAGTGGAATCCCAGAGGAATCAGAGGGAAGTAGGGGATAAACTATATTTGGAAAAATAATGGCTAAAAAGTTTCCAAATTTTGTGAAAAGTGTAAATCCATAGAGCCAAGGAAGATGATGCATTCCAAGTGGAATAAACACAGAGAAACCAATCCAAGGGCTATCTTAATTGTTGAAAACCAGTGATAAAGAGATCTTAAAGGAATTTAAAATGAAGGGATACATTATGTAAAATAAAGTACCTCTCAGAGGTAATACAAGGCTTGGGACAATGGGATGACATCTTTAAAGTGTTGAAAAGTCAAAAGTCAACCTGGAACACTAATCTAGCAAAAATTTCTTTCAAAAATGAAGGTGAAATATATTTTTTTCAGTCAAACAATAGCCAAGATAATTTGTTAGCAGACCCACACTGCAAAAAATGTCAAAGTTTTTTAGGTAGAAGGAAAATCATATCAGTAAGAAACTTGGATCTACACAAAGGAATGAAAAGCACCAGAAACGCTTAATATGTGAATAAGTAAAAATATTTTAGTATTTTGTCTCTTTAAAGATAATTGACCATTTAAAGTGGACAGATGGGGGCGTCTGGGTGGTGGCTCAGTCGGTTGAGTGTCAGACTGGCTCAGGTCATGATTTCGCAGTTTGTGGGTTCGAGTCCTGTGTGGGGCTCTGTGCTGACAGCTCAGAGTCTGGAACCTGCTTCAGATTCTGTGTTTCCTTCTCTCTGCTCCTCCCCCACTCACACTGTCTCTCTCTTTCTCAAAAATAAACATTTAAAAAAATAAAGTGGACAGATGACTTATGATTCTACTAGTGGTAATGGTTGGTGAGGCAACCAACTTGAGCTTTCTCCTTTTTTTCTCAGTAGATCTTGTTTCTTGTTACAATATAAATTAACATAGATGAGTGTAGAACTACCCAGATCATTTTGTGTGGCCCAGGTAAGGCACACAGAAATGCACAATTCACTCCAATATATGAAATTAATACAACAACTTTTTAATGGTCTTTATTATGTAAAATACTGTGTTGATCACAAGCCATTGATATTCTTCTGGAAAACCCCCACAGTCTCACAGAGTTTAGCTGAGAATTCTTCCCATATGTCCACGTTTAGTAACAGATTTATGCAAACTTATACTCAAATCATCTCTTTTGTAAATCACATCTAAAATCATTGGTTTTTTTTGTTTCTATTAAATATTAATTCCACTAGGTGGAGTCATTTGCTTAGTTTTTGTGGTTCACACTAAAGAGCTTAAAAATAACACATATAATAAGTAGGGAACAAGTCAGAAAAAAGACAAATAACCCTCCCAAGATCTGGTGCTTTGGGCTATATTAGCTTGGCAGACGTATCTTCATTACTACACAGAGTTCACTACAGTTGACCTTTGAACAGCAAAAAGGTTAGAGGCATCAAACTCCGTGCAGTCGAAAATCTGTATATAACTTTTGAGTCCCCCAAAACGTTACCAATAGCCTACTGTTGACTGGAAGCCTTACTGAGAACATAAACAGTTGAACAGAGAACTTAAACATACATACACACGTACATATTTTGTATGTTATATGTATCATATGCTTTATTTTTACAATCAAGTAAGTTAGAGAAAAGAATGTCAAGAACAGCAGAGAAGAGAAAATACACTTACAGTATGGTATGTATCCAAACCATAAGTTTACCTCAACTGTTTACAAGATGAATTGTCTGTTGGTACCTACATCAATATTGTCGTACAGGATACAGAACACTGTCGATGTATGTGTTACTAACACCAGACATGACAAATGAGAAGATAGTGTACAGTCTGTAAGTGTTGATACTTTTTAGCTTTTTGCAATAGATTTGTGTATGTTTTATGGTAGTAAATGATAAAATAGACCAGTATGTCTCTATATTTTATGCATTTATGACACATGTAACTTTTTCTTGATTCTTTCATTATTTCTAGTCTACATGATTCATTTGTGAGTTTTTTCAAATTATTGCAAATCTCCAAAGAATTTTCCGATATATTTATTGAAAAAAATATGTGCATAAGTGAACCTGCACAGTTCATCCTTTGTTGTTTGAGGGCCAACTGTATTTGCTTTTAATGTTTAGCAAAGGACAGTAGCAAGTTTTCTAGGTAGGTAGTGTCTAAATTTTTTCTTCCCAATAGTTGGAACTTTAAAACAGCCCCTGAGGGGTGAACAGATTATTAACCAGGCATCTTAAGTTTTCTCATTTAATCCTGTCAGATGGTTCTTTCATTCAACAGTGATGTATTCAGTAAATGTCTGTTACGAAAAGATACATATATATATATATATATATACACACACATATATATATATATACGTATATATATATGTTGTTTTCACTATAGTTCAGCTATGTCATATTTAAGAAGACATAAGGAACATTATTTTTTTTTTTAATTTTAAATGTTTTTATTTATTTTTGAGAGAGAGAAACAGACAGAGTAAGTGGGAGAGGGGCAGAGAGAGAGAGGGAGACACAGAATCCGGAGCAGGCTCCAGGCTCTGGGCTGTCAGCACAGAGCCCGACATGGTGCTCAAACTCATGAACCCTGAGATCATATCCCAGGCTGAAGTCAGACGCTCAACCGACTGAGCCACCCAGGTGCCCCGATATAAAGAACATTATTAATGTATACATATTGAAATGTAATACTTTAGTCCTTATATCAGCAACCTAATGTAAGATGACACCTCTTCACATAATAGGGAAATAATATTTATTCATTTTTGAAAATGCTATGCAAGTGACACAAATGTGTGGAACGTTTTTTCAAGTAGCTGTAATATAAAAGGCCTAAAGGATTGTGGGGAAACTTTTTTCAGCGTGAAGCTTTTTTGTTGCCATCTTCTTGGGTTTCTACTTTTCTGTTTTTATTGGTACCAACATTATATGGAAACAATATCTTTCCAGTTAAATAGGAAATTCATCTGCTCTTTATTTTGTATTTGAAGTTTTAATGCTCTGTGTCATCAGTTCGTTGACCTCAAGGAAGGAAGTCTCTGAAATGTTGAACTTTATGAGAGCAACCCAATTCTCTTTTTGTGCAATTGGTTTTTAAAAAAGTCTTTCTTGTATGAGTACTATTGTCTCCAGTTTTATTGTTTTAAAGATACTCTATTAATTACCTACAGCTGCTCTTGTAAATGGATTAAAAACACAACAGACTTTTGTCCTCCAATCCCTTAGAGAAAATCTAGTGACTGATGTTATTTCCTTTTTTTTTTCCTCTTCATCTTACATCTGTGGGAAAAGGATGACAAATCAGATGTTTATGAAAGTATTGTTAGGAAGGATTCTGAGTTTTCATATCTAATATGTCTCATTTTAAGATAATTCTGATTTTTTCCTTTATTCAGCATATATCGAATAAAATAAGATGTCTAATTCGTGCACAAATCTTACAACTGATTTTTCTCTTTAGGATGAAGGCCTGGCTCGCCAGTTGGTGGAGCTAGGCTACCGGGGGACCGGAGAGGTGGTGAAAAGGGAAGATTTTGAAGCAAGGAAGGCAGCTATAGAGATTGCAAGGCTGGCTGAAAGAACTCAGAAAAAGTAAGTGTCTGTGTTTCCAACCTGGGTTTTATATTATATTGTAGAGTCTCTGTAAAAGCCCAACCTCGCTGGCATTGTTGTCATTTAGGAACACGGGCCGGAGCGGGTAGAACTTAGAATAAATATCCTCAGCATGTGCTCTGCAGACCAGGGACTGAAGGAACTGTGACATGCTTGCAGGAAGCCACATGCAGCTTTGAGCTACTAACTTAAGAAATAGAAGTACCCAAATACTTCTATTTTATTATACTGAAAGTCTTGTTAGAAAGTAAGGCAGTGTTATAGGCTTTATGTATTTATATAGTAAAGACTATGAGTGACTTTTGTCTTAGAATTCTTTGTACTTTTGAGACCTTTACATCTTTGGCATCATTTATGTTCTTACATTTTTGTGAACATTGATTCATTTCACTTTATTAACGGTCTCTGGCTTTTGTTAATGTGACTAATATATAGTTGCATAAAATGGGAATCTAATTAAGTATATTAAACATATTATAAAAGAGATGTACACCTAAAGTGAACTATATCAACTGATAAGCTAATTTGAAAGATGTGACAAAGCAGGACACCTGGGTGCCTCAGTTGGTTAAGCGTTCGACTCTTGATTTTGGCTCAGGTCATGATCTCAGGGTCATGAGATTGAGTCCCATGTGGGCCTCTGTGCTGGGTGTGGAGCCTGCATAAGATTCTCTCTCTCTCTCTCTCTCTCTCTCTCTCTCTCTGTCTCTCTCTCTCTCTCTCTGTCTCTCTCTCTCTCTCTCCCTCCCTCCCTCCCCTGCGCACATGTTCTCTCTCTCTCCCTCTCTCTCAAAAAAAAGAATAAAATAAAAAAAAAGATGTGACAGCAATTATCTATTTACCTTTTAAAAATGAATGCTAATGTTGTAAATGTTGGAGAGGACAATTACTTAGGAATTGGTGTATTATTCTTAAGTATAATTTTAAACTACCCCAAAATTATGAGTAGAAATTTCTCATGTGTTTATTATAGCACGTAACGTTTGGGAGTGGAACATGAACTAGTTCCAGGAGTGTGCGATTTTAATTGATTGTTCTAGTAGTTACTGTGTTTCATTACCATAGAATATTGGGATTTAATATATCGACATTTGGTAATGTATTAGTTATCTGATGCTGCCATAACACATTACTACAAGCTTAGTGGCTTAAAACAACACAAATGTTTTTATTCATAATGTTCTGTGGGTCAGAAGTCAAGGGTACATTGGCTCAGCTGGGTTCTCTGGTCAGTACATCACACGGTTGAAATCCTGGTGTTTGCTGGACTGAGCCGTCTTCTGGAGGCTCTGAAGATGAATCTGCTTCCAGACGCATTCAGGTTCTTGGCCGAATTCAGTTCCTTGTGACTGTGGAACCCTGAGACCCCCATTTCTTTGTCAGCTGTCATTCTGGGGGCTGGTCTTTTGGGGGCTGGGCTGTGGGGTCCTACAGGCTGCCCACATTCCTCCTCATGCTTTCTGTGTGGTCCCCTTCCAGCAAGAGGAGGTCAAGATTCTCTTGCTCTTCAGATCTCTCTGAGTTCTCCTTCTGCAGCATCTTTCCTTATTCCAACCAGAGAAAGATCTCTCCTTTTAGGGGCTTATGTGGTCACACTGGGTTCATCTAGATTATCCTGATAATATCCCTGTTTTAGGGTCTATAACCTTCATTACATCTGCAAAGTCCCTTTTTCCATGTAATGTAACATGTTCACAATCTTTAGGAATTAGGGCATGGGCATCCTGGGAGGTGGGCATTCTGTTTACCACAGGTGATTTACATAAAAGTTCGATAATTTATTCAACATCGTTACGCATGACTTCTATTCTTAAAAATTTGAAATGATGCCAACTATATGTGTACAATGTGATGTGTCTTATATAGACTATCAGGGGAGTCTTCTCTTTCTGTATCAGTAAATGTTTATCAGGAGCAAAAGTGGACAGAGTTTTGTGAGATTTTATAAGGAATTAAAATATATTCATCTTTTATTAGAGGTGTGCCCTATTTCATGTTAAGAGGAGTGGGCCACGGTTAAAGTGCAAGTGTACATGTCCATTTTGTGTTTGAGGATCAAAGTGAGTATTTACTCCATGCAATAGTCTCTTTAACTGGCCAGAACTGGAAGTCATCAGGCTGCTTAAGTACCCACCATGGGAGGCTAATCCCCACCCAGTGTTGCTAGAATCCCAAGGCCTTTCATCTGCAAATCTTCTCTGAGTGATTTTGTAACGGGATGGGCCCCATATGTTGCCTCTTGCCCCATCTGGGAGTCACTTTGCTCCTTTCCCTCCCAGGTCTATTGTAGTTTCTTGACAGCAGGGCCAGCAGAGGGTGACCTAGAGCCAAATATGCCCTCGGCCTAGATTTGCTGGAGAATCACTTTGAAAAATACACATGAACATCTGCCCGTCTGCCAATTGGTGCCAACATGGAAACGCTTGATTCTACTATCAGATTACCTTATATTAACTTATCTAATGTGCAGGTGAGGAGTCCCACGTAGATCCCAATCCTCTGGTCTGGTAATCATAGAGCACCCATGGTGGGGTACCTGGGTGGCTCAGTTGGTTGAGTGTCCTACTCTTGACTTCAGTTCAGGTCATGATCTTGGGGTCATGGGGTCATGCTGTCAGTGTGGAGCCTAACTGGGATTCTATTTCCTCTCTCTCTGTCCCTCTCCCTCACTTACACGCTTTCTCTCAATACAAAACAAAAAAACAAGTGATGGCACCTAAAAGTAAGTTATTTACTTTGATTAGTTTCAGAGGGGGAGTCTAGAGAGAAGAAAGTTAGATATTGGAGGGAGCACTGTGATGAAGGGGTATTTTGATAAGGATTTCTCCAAAAGAGGGCATAAGGTGAAAAAAAATTATTGTGGGCTTTTGATTTACTCATTCACTTTATAAATACTCATAACACAACTATATTGCATTAGGCACTGTGCTAAATGCTGGGGATATGATAGAACATAGGACAATCCCTGCCCTTAAGAAATTTGAGCACTAGATAAATGAGAGACGATTACATCGCTGGTGGGACTGTGAAACAGAAAACAGTTTGGGGGCTCTTTAAAATGTTACACACAGAGTTACCATATGACCCAGCAATTCCTTTCCTAGGCGTCTCTCCAAGGGGATTGAAAATGTAGGTCCACTTAAAAACTTGTTCACTAATGTTCATAGCAGCATTAGTCATAGTCACCATAAAGTGGAAATAATCCTGGGACGCCTGGGTGGCTCAGGTGGTTAAGCGTCTGACTTCGGCTCAGGTCATGATCTCACAGTTTATGGGTTCGAGTCCCGCGTTGGGCTCTGTGCTAACAGCTTGGAGCCTGGAGCCTGCTTTGGATTCTGTGTCTCCTCCTCTTTCTGCTTCTCCCCCATTCATGCATGCTCTGTCTCTCAAAAATAAATAAAAGTTACAAAAAAAAATTAAAAAAAAAAAGTGGAAATAATCTGAATGTCCATCACCTGATCAATGGGTAAAAAAAAAAAAAAAATTGGCATATAGATACAATGGGATATTATTCAGCCATAAAAAGGAGTGAAGTACATATTGTTACATGCTACAACAAAGATAAACCTTGAAGACACCAGGCTAAGTGAAAGAAGTGAGAAAAAAAGACTATATACTGTGTAGTTCCATTTACATAACGTGTCCAAAGTAGGTAATTGCATAAAATGCATAGACAGAGGGAGACTTGTAGTTGCCAAGGGCTGGAAGGAAGGGTGAATGGGAAATGACTGCTAATAGGTATGAGTTTTCTTTTTGGGGTGATAAAATGTTCCAGACTTAGATACTGGAGGTGATTGCACAGCTTTGTAAACGCACTAAAGACATTGAATTGTACACCTTAAAAGTTTGAATTTTATGGCATGTGAATTATGGCTCAATAAAAACAAATAGGACAGAAAATAATGCATTCCGTCAGAGGCGCTGTGGTGACACCCTGAAGCGGCACTATGTCAAGATTTGGTGGATGGGAAGAACAGGGCAGGCTCTTCGGAAGGCATGACGGCTAACTTCACTCTTAAAGGATAAGTAGGAATTAACCAGGCAAAGAAGTATGTGGAGATGGACACATCCTGTGACAAACTCCATCTGGTGACAAACTCCCGTTCTTCACAAATCTTTCTCTCTACCTCTTTGTCTTAACATGCATCTGTTCTCTTGCTGAGACTTTTCCCCCTAAAGCCCTGCCAGCTAGAGGCCACTTGTTTCTACACTTTCTGGGGTGGTGTGGTAGTGAGTGGGTTTTTCATTCTGCCTAGTTCCCACAATCTTTGCTTCAAAACCATCTCTGCTTTATTATCAAGTAAACATCATCTCTCATCTGCCCTGCACTGAGATTCATGGCAGCTGGTATAGTGGCCATAAGGCAGAGGCTTTAAATGTTGTGAAGAAGGAATGGGTATAGTTTAGTTGGTGAACTTTTTGTCGAGACTGAATGTTCTGCTCTCCACGGTGTGGCCATGGTATATTAATGAGGCATTCCCATCATAAGTTCTGGAGAATTTCCATTTGTAGTGAGAAGTTCAGTTTATTTATTTTTTATTGAAATAAATGTCTATTTTGAGACAGTGCACATGGGCGTGCACAAGTGGGGAAAGGACAGAGGGGAGAGAGAGAGAGGGAGAGAGAGAATATCCCCAGGAGGCTCCTCACTGGCAGCACAGAGCCTGACATGGGGCTTGGCCTCACTAACCATGAGATCATGACCTGAGCCGAAATCAAGAGTTGGACACTTCACCGACTGAGCCACCCAGGTGCCCAGAGAAGGTCACTTTATTTCCACAGGTGATGGAGAGATGGACCTTAACTGTTTGCAACACAGGTTGAGTATTGGGTTCTTGGGGTATATTTAGTAGTTTAAGGCACTGTTATTCCCATTCCTTTTAGCAAGTCAACATTTATGACAGGCTCTTTACATTCACCCTGGCCCACAGAGGAGAGCCACTGAATCTCTTTTTTAGTGAGTTTGGTTCTATTCTGAC